TGTGATGGATGAGCCTGCAAATCACTGCACATTTTCTCAAATTGAAGCTTTTATAATATTTCGCGGCGCCTCTGCAAAGAGGCCGCGGCTCCCCGGGGCGCTGCGGTGCACAGTTTGGGGATCACTGCATTATGAGATAAATTCACCTAATTCTATGAAACACCTAATCTTCAACACATCTTCAATATTCATGACAAGCCAGACTCAATTATTATGGAATTGTTGATTAAGCAAACAAATCTTTGTCATTGAAATCGACGATTTTATTTATTTTTGATATAATCAATTTTCGGGACTTAGTAATTTTTGAATGATAACTTAATCAAATCTCCTTATGCGACCTGGAGTAGTTAGACTTTTATTCCATAATAACTGATAGCCCCGAGGAATGCATATACCAAACACTGACTTAGAGGTCGATCCCACGACAAGACTGATGGACCCGGGACAATTTTCTTCGACTCAAGGGTAAACAGGCAATGATTTTATCTCATATGACTGATATTATCATAATAGGATAACATTATCACAACTAATTTGTATTATGTAGTCAAGAAAACTCATATGCTTATCTTCACATGGTGAATATAGTCTAAATCTTTATATCTCTATCATTTGGCTCTTTTCTTAATTTTCTTACAAAAGTAAGGTTGGAATTTTGAAGTCAATGATTATTTAGAGTATAGGATTGGCGGACAACAGTCATTAGACTAAAGACTTAGAACGACTGAAAGATATATTCCTGTACAATAATAATCCTTTGGGCCTAATTGGGAATAATATCTCTTTACTTAGGGGTTAATTTTCAAACGTAAATTACTTATTTGGGGGATATTCATTTCGTATCAAGGTGCATTAAGAAGAGATTTCTTAAGTCGATCTCACCAGAAGAGGATGGTTGAATCCCGTTCTACTGCAGTCGTTTGGCTTGTACACGATGTATAGGTTGACGAAGCTCATGAGACCTTCCTCATTTCGGGTGAAAACGAGCTGAGCTTTCGTCCATAAAGTAGCAAAAAGTGGCAGGACCAGTATGAAAGATAATTAGCCAAACCACTCTATATCTATCTAGGTTTTTAATTTTCCTTTGCTTAATTGAATCTATATAAGATATAAGATTGAGCCGAATGGTTTTCGTGCCCTAGTGTTAACGCGAGGCATTTACATGAATGAGCCCCAGATCTGATGATGTACATCATATGATAGCCGAAAGCTCAGCTCGTTTTCATCCGAAACGAGGGAAGAGCTCTAATGGACTGTGTAAACCTGGGCGTCATATAAAAGCCAATCAAATGCAGTACAATGGGATTGATCCGTCCTCTTCTGATGAAATCGACTTACGAATCTCTTCTTCATGCACTTTCATACGAAATGAAAGTTCCCCCAAAAATGTTATCTTAGGTGATTAATCGAAACCTGGTTGTCCTTCAGAGACTACTTAGTCAAATATAGACAAACTGAGAGCTTTTCTTATGTCCTAATTTTGCTGTCATGCCTTCCTTAAAAGAAGATTGGCAAATAAGTCAGAAAATGGGGGATACAAAAAATGTTCAAAGAAACCATCACACATTCTACGTAATTGTGCCTCCTGTGGTCGATCTAGTGTTGGTAAGACATGCTGTACTATTCAACAAAGATTAAGGAACAGAAAAATGCATGTAAAGAGAGTTTGATCAGAAGTTTACAAACACATAGGCCAGAGACTGGAAATGAGGTAGAATGGTCTCAAACAAATAGGTTTGCTGATTATGCTACGTCTACTGTTGAAAGGAAGATAAGAGCGATTATTAAAAGTGATAGATTAGAAATACGTTTAATGTGAGGAACGTTGGTAGGAAGTTGGATAGAACTACTTATGCTTGATCGACGGTATGAAGACCAAGGTGGTGTGGCCTTCTGTATGGTCGCAGTCTCCTTTCGTTTTTTACGAGTTGTTTGACTTTGTTTTCGCAATTTGGTCATATTAGTAGGAAGAGTTAGAGGAACGCACCTAGTCCGTAGTCCATTGTATGTATGATAATGTCAAAAGTCTGCCCATGGACGTGGTACATTCCCAGACATTCCGACGGAATCGTAGTCGGCACCGTCAGTGATCTTTGCCATTCTTAGCAACGCACTACAATTCGTCAAGGAGACAAATGAAGCCCATCCTTTGATTAATTGTCTGTAATAAACGTTATATCTCCTTTGCTCTGAGATATTCACTGGTCCTATACCCTCGTATCAGCCCTACACTACCACAATTTTTTAATTTAAATTTGACATAGTATGCCCTTTTTTAGCGGATTTCATAAGAACTCTCCAAACTCCACACTGGCTTTCTCACCCCTTAACCTCTTAATCCTCTTCCCATAGCTATTATTAGTCTCCCCGTAAGATCCGCCTCCTAACTTGTTCAAGTATTTCACCCGACCTCTGCCACCCTGTCTGCACTACGCGAAGCTTTATTTCCCACAATTTCTCGACTTTACGATGACACGCATACTCCCGCCTTGCTGAGTAGGTCCCGAGTGATTCTCATAGTCAAGCCTTTTCTTCATTGACCACGTCTATGATCAAACACGTCTACTTTTAGCCAACTAGCTCTAGTCTTCGACTTATCTATCGTGCTTCTATGCATAATACCAAGTCTTTAACTTCCTATACCCTAGTCTCTTGTGTGCCAACTCTCAAATGTTATTAATTCGATGTAAAGGTGATTATTTTTGCAATTTTGAAAGACCGATTAGCTAATTAAGGTATCTACCACATATTGAGCATTAAAATAGATGAGATTAGAATTGCGTTACACTTATATGTATTCATCTTATTTCATTCAAGGTGATGAAGGACTAGTAATTGAATTTTCCCACAATGATATGAGTTGAGCTGATACTTACATTGAATTTCGAATATCATTGCTTTCCTAAAAGGGGTCTCATCCAGAGTGGACTGAGTTTTAACCTCGCCTAGATCTTATCAAAACCCACAATAGGACTCTAATCCTGACTGTGCAGCCTGTAATCTCGACACATTAACGATTATGCCACATTGCCACAAATGCCCTTAGGTCACAGGTTAAATGTGAATTCCAAGGAAGACCAGGCCTTTTTTCCATATAACATTCTTTTGTAGTATTTTAGATAATTGAATTAACAGTTTTGAGATCAATCTTTCCTCTGTTATTCAGCGTTTCTCAAACTTTGGTCTGGAAATGTTGATCTATTTGGGGCCAGATGAGATCTCATTGTAAATGCCTATATGTTCACAAAATATATAGTTGAAAATTAGGAAAGGGCCATTCATAGATATATTAAATAGCCTCATAACCGTTAAAATGTTGTTTGACTTTGTTTTCGCAACTGGGTCATATTGGCAGGAAGACCTAGAGGAGCCTACCTAGTCTAGAGTCCATAGTATGCATGCTAATTTCGAGTCGGACCATGGACTTGGTACATTACCACGGTCCGACTCTGGAAATTACCATGCATACTACGGACTCTAGACTAGATTCGCTTCTCTAGATCTTCCTGCCAATATGACCCAGTTGCGAAAATAAGGTCAAACAACTTCTATACAACGAAAGGAGACTGCGACCCCACAAAAGGCCACAATATCCTGCTATTCATATCCGAAAACCATAAGTCTGCTTAGTATTGCTCCCTCGATATCCAAATGTTCTTCTTGATTGGATTTTGGAGCTAGAATTCTTTACTGAGCTGAAATGTTGTCATACATTCATTAAACATTTAAACTTGCCAAAATATTATCCTTATTAGTAATTTGCTGAGCTATTACTCTAAAACTTCATATGAATTCTTTACTAAATATATCCAAAACTTTGCCTCTGCTTTTAATCGACCAAACCAAACTATTTTTAAATGTCCTTTGTGTCAGCCCAAAATTGAAATAGACTTTTAGCTTGTTCTTAACTGAAAATCGCATCCCTTTATCTACCATATCTTCTATTCCTATATATTTTATCTCCTATCCTACTCTTAAAGCGTCGCATTTATCCCGATGGAACTATGAAGACAGTATTTGCCGACGGCCACCAAGAGACACGCTATTCATCTGGCCGACTGCGCCTCAAAGACAGCCGGGGGAATCTCTTGTTAGACACTCGCGTAGCACCGTCTCCTTCCCTTCAGCAATGCCCTGATATGGCACCTCCAATCGTGTCTATTCCTCCTGCTTGTCCTGTTAACGCTCCCCTTTCGTCCACTAACAGGCATAGAAAAACCCCTGAGGCCACTTCTGTCACTAGAACTTTTGCCATTTCACATGCCAGTAATGGTTGCGATCAAAATTTGGCTAATCCTCAGTCACGTAGATTTGGAAAATCACTTTTTTCTTCTTGTCGATCAGAGACTGCGTCTAACCAACTTAGTGGGGACACACCATACAGATCGATTCCCGGAATCAGTCATAACCAGCACTTCGAGTCAATGAGCTCAAATAACGCGGATATCAACCGAATTGGATCCCTTTTAAATCCTCTAAGGGCTCTTGGCCGATGAATTGATGTAAAACATGTGGGGATCCGACGCTTATGTGCACACATGCGCATGCGGCGACCTGTGCCTTATATATCATATTTATCTACATCTTTTTGCCTTTGCACTTGCTTTGCATTTCTTGCTTAGAGTAAAACACCTTTTTAATTCAAGAATGAAGTATTATCATAAAAATGAGTTTGATCTTTCTTTATTTTGTGTGTGCTTACATGCATGTGCTGATAGCTTAACTGACCCTTTGTTTAAAATGGCCCTTATATTCTCATTTTACCTCTACCTTCTATGTCTAATATTTATAGGCTAATTTGCTACTTCGTGTCTTTTCTTGTACACTTACACACATCTATTTTTATCCAAATATATTCCATTTTAATTTATATTATTCTCCAACTAATTGCTACTGATTTCTAGAAAAATCTATCGCCGTCTATTTATCATTCCATCTATGTTTCTTTCATCTCTGTTTATCACCTTGTCTCTTTTGTATTTATTTGTTTTCAGTTTCATTTAAATTACTGTTAATATTTCCTTGGAAAATTTACTTGTCCCAATAATCAATCGACTTATTTTTCCATAGTCAAACCTCATCTGTCTTTCCTCAACTGTTGTCCATTCAGGGCCCTAACTTATCTTCTTAAGCAATCTCGTGAGGCTGTGTCTGCTTTCCTTATACTTGTATTTATTAATTAGATCATTACAACAACAATTTCATATAATCGGTTTTCCAGTTCATTTTCTCGCGTATCCATTCCTATAACCCTGAAGATACTTCCATTATAATAAATATAATTAGTTTAATATCATGCTTCTGAATAGTTTTCATAGTCCTCTGGACTTATTTATTCTTGAGTGAAGCTTTTAATGTGTCTTTTGCGGCATAAACATACCAAATATCCTTTTCCTTATCATAGCGAATTTATTACTAGTGTTCACATTTAGGAAACATTCTGAATGTTCCTTTCATCTATCATCATGAATAAATCGTCCCAAAGGCATTTTCTGTCTTATGCACCAGGATTTTGATCATTGGCTTCCATTTCAATTGAAAACTCTGGCGTATGATTAATTTCACAATATATAAATTATTATCTAAAATGGGTAATAAATATATTTTTTCATTTATTTCTCTGTAGCATTTAATTTTTCATTTATCCTCTTGGTCAGGGCAGCGGTGCCAAATTTATCCAATCACGAGACTAATCCAGGATCATCCCTAAATATCTCCACTTCATGCGTTTTTGTTAAGCCTATTTTATTTCCATTTTTCCAATATATTTTCATGTGCTATTTGCATGCTCTTGTCCGTGCTTATTTTGCACTTGCGATCATTTTTAAGGATTATTTTAGTATTCCTTGCTTTAAGACAATTAAGACATTATTTTCCCTTTCTAACCTGTTTTATTTTGCTTCCCTACTATACGAATATTTTCTCTCATTTATTCTAACGTTCCAATGACCAGTCTTACGAATACTGTATAGTTTTGTTACCACTGTATGATTATTGTTTTTATTCTGGCTCTTTATGTATCTTATTTTGTTTAAATCCTTTATAAACGACATTACTTTTTGGTCGTTTGTTCCATTTTTCAATGATACACGTATTTGCAAAGTCCCTAAGTGCTATCTAAGATCTTTACCCTAATTTTGTGTGAAAATCTCTTCAAATTCTTAGATTTCAGGCTTCAAGTTTTGCCATGATATTTAATAAAATTGCTTATATTAATCAGATCTGCGTTTTATTGTAGGCCTATTACCCCTTATTTTCATTCTTTTATATCTTATCATTAAGGCGATTTATGTGTAGATGTATGGTTTAAGAAGCGACCCTTAAATTTTTTCTTGGGTTACTGTGCAAAGATCCTACTTGCACACCCATGTCTCCTTAATTAAACTTAGCTGTCGGCCCTCAAAAGCTTCCAAACTCACGCTTGCCACTATTGCTCATTTGTCAATAGTTTTGCCCTACTTTAAATCAGAAATGCCTATGCACCACAACAAATTCAGCATCAAATGCAACCTTTGCTTATGCTTACCGAATTATTCTGCTCCAATCCAATTTTTTATCGTCCATTGATTGCTTATTTTATAGAATGTGCATTAGGCCAGGCTTGGATTTTAAACTGGTTAAATATATATAACATATTAATGAAACCCAGCAATTAAACATTTAAGCACTGACAACTCAGACTTTGTATTTTCAGCGAAAATTACTCTCGTAGAAAGTCTTGTTTAAAGATAATCTGCCTTCTTGCTTGAACGGGTTGCTTCTTGCTCCAATTCTATTCATTGTTTTGGAATGTAAGCGTAGGTTTGAGTGGGCATAATTACTTAGTGATGACTTATTCAGTCACGCTTCTCTTGTATTTCATGTTATTGCAATTAAGGCACGAGTGGCATATTCATTTAATGGAAGAGATTTTATCTCTACTGGCCATGTTTAAGGCAATACAAGGTGCACTTTCAAAGTTTAAATTAGACCATATTTGAAATAGTGTATTCGATTGGTTTGTACTACAGCATTCGGCTAAGGGATAGTTGTCCTACACCTTGTAAACTCTAAATAGATTCTGGCAATGGATGGGAATTGGAGTGCTTTACTACATCATAATCTAGATACGTTTTTATTCACAATCTAGTTCCGAATTTTCCTATGCTGTTCCTAACCATAGGATATTGATGACAAGGCAAATGCTATTAAATCTATCGACTGTGTGGTCCAATCGACTACGAATAAGATCTGAGTCCTTGGTGGCCTCTCAGTTCGACTTGCAAGATGTAAATGCAATCAGGTCCAAGCCGAAAGGGTCGGGGACACCAGTGAAATGTGTCAGCCTTCTTACCTTGTTACAAAATATTAATGTTACTACTTAGTTTCCTTTTTATAAGAATTTTGTGATTACTTTGACGAGCTACAAAACGATTGACAGCGGATGGGGTTTGACGGTGACTTATAAACTATTACTCTTCTTCGTTTTTACTGCATTTTATTTATTTTATCCCGGTACTGTGAGATTACTCACAAAATTATTGTGGTCTGCTCAAGGTTTTCTTCTCGAAACAGCTTTTATTCTAGATATGAAAGCCAAAATAGGATGGCCCTAAATTTCGATTACTGCTTAGGTAAATGTAGAGGAATTCGGGATCCAGGCTTAAAAACAGACGAGACGCCCAGACGGAGGGCTTCGATCGAGACAGGAATAGGAGGGAATGCGATTGTATATAAGCCAAATCAAGGAACGAGCTCTAAAACGATCGCTGAATGGTCTTACTTGGGGCATATACGAATGGTAATAAGCTTCTTGATAGGCTACCATTAGGGATGAAGTTAATGGGATCAAAATCTCTCACAACTCTATTTGATCGTTGTAGACAGGGTTAGCTGCATAATCTTAGCTCCCATGTAGACAATTCGAAATGAGTATAGGGTAACCACATGTTTAGGACGACTGATGACGCCGGAGAACGTGATTAATATGGTTGGGTGAAGCCAGGAGCTCCACGCTTATAGTTTAATAAGGTGATCGAATAGCGGAACATCGGGAGAATCGTAGGCCTGGTAGTCGTCTTTAATAAGGTTGTTGTTCACCTGCTGTCATTCGCTTGAAGCCAGATGCAAATATAGCTTCGAGTAATTCGGATATAATGATCAGGGTCGAGCGAGTAGACCAGGAGGAACAAGCTGATATGGGTTGGCTGAAATGGTTTGGCACATATACGTCCTGCAGAAAGAATTAGAAACCAGTGGCAAAGTTGACTACACTTTATTAAACCTAGCTTAAGCACACTTAGGAAACACTAAAACATTGTTAAGGGGACTTTCAATTCGTATGAAAGTGAATGAAAGAGAGATTCGTTAGTCGATCTCACCAGATGAGGACGGATGAATCTCGTACTGTAGCCGTTTGGCCTTTATACGATATTCATATTGACGCAGTCCACGAGACTTCCTCGTTTTAGCTGAAAATTTGCTGAGCTCTCGTCCATCATATGATGGACATCATCAGAGCTAGGTGTCATTCTTGTAAAAGTCTCACGTATGTTAGACGAAAGCTCAGCACGTTTCCACCTGAAACGAGGGAGGAAATCTCGTAGACTGCGTCAACATGAATATCGTATAAAAGTCAAACGGCTGCAGTATAGCGAGATTTATCCGTCCTCATCTGGTGAGATCGACCAACAAATCTCTTCTTCATTCATTTTCATAGGAAATGAAGGTCCCCCTAACAATTTTATCTCAAGAGATTAATCAAAACCCAGTTTCTCTTCGTATCGACATTAAAACACACGTTTATACATATATGTGTAGATAGTAAGTTGGATAAAGATAAGGTAATATTAAGAAATTAAGTACGCCATTCGAAGCTTTTATGTCAACAAGACTAAGCTTCCTAGAATTCAAGCAAAATCTAGCTTTAGAATTTGTCTTACATTTTTTCCGCAACTTGGTCATATTGGTAGGAACATAGAGGAATGCACCTAGTCCGGAGTCCATAGTGCGCATGATAATTTTTAAAGTCGGACCGTGGACGTGGTACATTACCAGAATCTTCTCTGGCATCACCAGTGAGCTTTGCCAGTCTTAGCACCACACTACAGCTCATCAAAGAGACAAGTAAAGCCGATCCCTTAACCAATTGTCTGCTAAACCATTGTGGTATCTCTCCTGGCCTGGGCTATTCCTTAATTCTATATCCTCGTATCATCCCTCCACTATCACAATTTCTTGTCTAAATGTGACACGGTGTGCTCTTTTTGTAGTGAATTTACTGAGGACTCCAAACCCCACGCTGGCTTTCTCACCCCTTTACTCTGAAACCCTCTTCCAATAGGTATTATCAGTCTAACTCTTGCGCCGTAAGATCAGCCTCTTACATTTCTGGCTCATGTATTTCACTCGACCCATGCCACCCTATCAGTATCCTTGAAGCGTTATTTCCCACACTGTCTCAAGACTGATGGCACGCCTACTCCCGCCTCGCTGAGTAGGCGGGAGTTGCTTTTGA